CCATGGATCGTCTTGGTCGCCATGATAAACTCAGAGAGCTGCTCATCCTGTTCGTCCCATACTGATCCGTGGGTCCCAGTGTAACATTTTTCATAGACTTTCTTGGTCCAGTCTTGGCGGTAATAGTCTCCAATGATGACCTTGAGGAATGTACTGCCTTCTGTGTAGAACTTCTCCAAGTCTATATAGAACGCTTCGACTTCTTCTTCGTTATAGTTTGACGTCGGCGCGTAAACGACGAAGATTGTGAAAGCCGGAATTGATCCACATTTTTTTAATCGTAAACGTCCGATTCGGGTTGTAAGTTGTTCGAATGAACCGTTGTACGTGGACAAACTCTTGTTGACGAGGACTCCTACGCCGCCGAATCCTCTATTGTTGCATGTTCCGAGGAACAGTTCATCTCCATTGTCTTAGACGCCATTGAATGGGTGGCGTCGTCTCATCTCGGCCAGGCCGATGACGTCGTACCTTATTTTTTCGCTTGCATGATCAAATCTTCTATTGAGGAATCAGATTCAGGTGTGCATGCATTGTGGGTCGCCGCCGCCGTCGATCGTCGCCGTAGTTCTTCGTGATCTAGGCAGCTTCCATAGACCCTGAGGTTTTAGCAGCTTCTCCGTTCTCGTCCCATCCAACGCTGTCGAATTGGGGACTCTGTCGGAGTCAGGGGAGTGACGCCCACTTCTTTTACTGTTTTTAGCTTTTTGATACCCACGTATAGCTCGTTGGGCTCTGAACATGGGGTCTGAGTTTACTCACGGGTAGCTTGTCAGGCTCTCCCAGAGTGCACATGGAGCTTATTTGTTCGAGGCGACTCCTAACCTCTTCCCATATAGTTCCCTATTATTTGGTTGCAGGGTTTTGGCCGAATTGACTAGTAGAATACAATCCGCATAAGCAAGAACGCACCCATACACACACATACATTAATACGCCTAGCATATAGAGAAAGTATGTGTCAAATCGACGCAGCAGAAACGGGTAGTCCATCCTCTGGATCAACCTGCGTCTCAGGGAAGCAAACGTCGCTTTTGGTCCGCGATTAACCCCCTATCCGCCATCTTGGGACGCGCCACGTAGCCTCGCTACTAACCGGCCATCGGGATGCCTCTTGTGGGGGAAATCCGTGGTCGAGGTGGCATGGACACCATAAGTGGATTCAGGAGTGAACTATATGGATCCTGTGTTGCCTATTTAGAATTCAGCGGTTTCTAGGAATTCTTTACGATACTATATATATATATATATATATATATATATATATATATATATATATACATATCTTCTGAGGAGTGCAGCGTTCCTACTAAAATGCCCAGATAAGAGTAAACTAAGAGCAGTATACAGCACTGTTCTGGTATCAAACTGGTCGCATGATGGCGAATCTCTCTTTGATCCAAAAGCAAGAGAGGACGTGGGGCAGATTTTGGATAGGCGGACCGCGGAATTCCACAGAACTACAATGGCGAAACTAGGAAAACTCCGGAAAAGTGGAAATTATACCCTCACAACTTGTGAAAACGGCCATCCAATTATCCAAGCACCCAACACCCAAGTAGCTATATACGTATATATTAGTTCGATAGCTAGTTTTCGAATCGAAAGCACATTAAGGTAGGTAGGGTTGGACCAGACAATTTTTTCTTTTTTCTTTATATTCTTTTGTACCTTTTTTTGTCCACTTTTCGGTACACTCAATGATTTACAAACAAAGCTTTTTTCGAAATGCTTATTGGTCGGCAATTTGATCATCAACTGACTCTTATTTTGTAACTGGGCCGAAGAAAAGAAGACCATCGCGAATTTCTTATTCCTTATGGCTATTATAAGCAAAATACGGTTATGAAAATCTCGAAATGACTCAATATAAGCTGTAAAATTCTATCAAAATGCTGACGGCAATGTATTTACATGGCAAATCACAGCAACACATAGTAAATGTCATTCATACATATAGAACTCTTTCTGTCGTATTCGCAACCCTCGAGTTTTCTAGTTTTTGGAAGAGAAAATTGTTTTTTGTTATCAGTGAAAGAGAACCAATCTAATGTAGAATCGCCCGAATTCCATGAAGCCAACAACTAGAAAAGAGCACCATCGCGAATTTGTTAACCCATAAGCCCATGGGCATTCAAGCTTGCTTCAAGCAAAGGTGAAATTAAATTTTCTTCTTTCTTCACGTGGTCTGTTTTCTATCGCACGGTTGGAGTCACTTCATGCTCTCGTTTAGCTTTCTCGCATCCATCATCGACGGAGTCCTTCGAACTTTTTTGCTGACAGTGGCTTCCGCTGCTGCTTAAAGATTGTCGTCTTCTTTATTATGAATGTTGTTGAAAGTCCAGCCGATTTTCCCTTGGTGTTCTAGAAGAGCCGAAGTAGAGCGTTCTTACTTGGGTCCACTTGGACTGTGCAGAATGAATTGTTTTCAGCCGAAGTGGCACATAGGAAGGATCTTGGGGGGGCTTGGCAGAGTTGGATCTCCACTATCTCAGAACAACGAAGTGCTGGAATTTCCACAATAACCGATAAATTTTCGATAGCTAGAAGATATACTGGATTGAGAACATCACAAGGCTGCAAAAGAGGCTTTATTTTATCTATGAATATCTATTTCTATTTATTTTATCTATGAATATCTATATCTATTTATCTTTATCTATCTATTTTATCTATCTATGATACACGCTAATATTTTCTACGTTTTGCTATAATTCACAATACAAACACATGACATGGAGCATTTGGAAGTTTTGTTTATTTTGATATATGTGCGCTTGTTACACAGAATAACTTAATTCAATCAGTAAAACTATAACGTTGCTGAGATATTTGCAAAACTCTGGACCGCAGGTGTCTATGGTGGGGAACGAAAAAACGAAGGACTCGCATGGTGTGGTGGTGAACGCGTTACTCCCCGGAAAGGATAATAGCGCGTTCGTTCCCCACCATAGACACCTGCGGTCCAGAGTTTTGCAAATATCTCAGCAACGTTGTGGTTGTATTTCGCTTAGTAACCTGCCATGTAAATTATAGAAGGCAGAAAACAAAACGTTAAAAATTTCAATCAGTAAAGTTTACTAGCAACTGAGATATATTGCCGGAAGGAGTAACTGCAATCGGTCTGGTATGAATCGGAACTAAAGGTCAACTCAGGTGAGCTGGCAGCTATAAGAAATGGGGTGGGTTTCACATGGTTTTCATTCAAGAGGTCATAGTAACTCTTCTATGACGTTTGAGAGAAATTCTAGAGAATCTACCTAAACGGAATAGAGCACACAGCATGGAAACTACAACGCAATAATACGCAATCTACTCATTCAAACTCTTTCATGACCTCAGCGGACAAAACTTAAGGCATAAATTTTTATTTCCATAATGAACAACTCCTTACAACATTCACCATTTTGTTCTTTGTAAGTCTCCCAGTTATTTGGAGATAACAAGCCTCCTGAGGTATAGAACTAGGTCATGAGGTATCACAAGACACTCCTTTTTTCGGTTCGTTCTTAGATTCTTGGAATTTATCCGAAAGGCTTTCGGAGTTTCATGCTCCGATGCCTTGGGTTTCTCTGTGCGAGAATAGTAAATTTTACTTCAAAGTCCTCACTATTATGTCTCTGCGTCCTATGCGGGCCTAATGGAGTATTTGATTCAGCTTTAAATTTACCGACTAAGCGTTCTTTTATACGGATTCGTAGTGGTATACCTTTTTCGCCAATATTGTTTTGCAGTGTTAGTCGCCGCTACTGATTTCTCTAAAGTGGCCGTTTTTAAGCAACTTTTTTATAGTTGCACCTATTTCATTGGGAATTAAAGAGCAAGTTAAGTGAGATTTTATTTTGGCTAAAATTATCGTTTGGAGGCTAGACTTTTCGGCGAAGCCTATTTCGAGAGGATATAGCCGATGGAAATGGTATGCGTGAATGGTGGAGAATAAGGTATTTAAAGCAGTGAACCAGTATGCCTTTATTACTTGGTTCTCGGTAGCATTGTAATATAGGCTTTTCCGGGTAGATTAATTTGAACCTTCAAAAGGGAACCACCTCTCTTTCGGTTGCTGTCAGGCAAATTTAATGTATTTCGACTGTTAGTTCAAAAACTCAGAACATTTGTTCATTTTTTGTTGTGTGGCACATATTGCTGTAAAATCACCTATGCATCTGCAGTAGAGTAATGCCCTTAGACCAGGTACGTAGGCTTCTATTTCAGATCTAAACGCAGTGGTAAGGCCCGCTGTCCATCGCTGTCGGAATGCTAGCACTTTCTTTTGTGCTTAATATTTTTCTAGCCATCTCATGATTGAGCAATTTAGGTAAACCTATGAGAGGATTATGAGCTACTGAATCGAGAACGTAGACATGTTTCCTGCTCTTTCGCGTTGCATAAGGGGCTAGCATATATCTTGCGCTGAGGAGTCATTTGACACGTTTGTACAAATGGCGGTGACATCGAAAGAGTACATAACATGCGCGCTATTAAGGCGCGCTTTACATAGAGGATCCAGGAACATTCGGGTATTCGTGACATGCACCGAGATGTGCCTCAACACTTGGAATGTAGTTAGGTTTATAAACGAAAGTCTTCTATCTGGGTGTCTTTCCTCTACACAGCTGCTCACGGGTTTCACTTTAAACTTTAAAAAGTAGGTAGAGGCAAGATCATTAGTGGGCCTAAATGAAATTATATTATATGTAATACGAAATTACGACCTTCGATAAGTATAGGATGGAACGTATTAGTAATTTAAGTTCAAGTCGAGCAATAAATGACGCTTTTAAGCCTGTCGTGTTTTCCACACTAACCAACTACCCTGTTCATTTTTGGCATTGACTTGTGAATTTCCTTTCTTGTGATGTGCGGCAAGGAAAAGTGTTATTAACGTCCAACATCTAAATGACGAAAAATAACCACGAACTGTCAACCTTTACTATTAATTGATTGCCTAAAATCTGAGAAAAGTTATGCCTGATTAGCCATAGGATTCTTGCTGACTAGAGCTATGTCTGCGTTAAAGGAGGTAGTGATAATGCCCCTACTTCTTGCATCTCATTTGGCGTCTCAAGTTGGGCTTTATTACGAAGCTTCTCTCGAAGCTCATACAGACCACATACGATCGTGCGCATGGTTGCCTTAGAAATGATTTGCGCTAATGAGGAACTTGGACCCAATTTTAATAGCGTGCCAGCTCCGTTAGATAGAGTCATGTCTCCTAACACCATAATATTTGACTTTTTTGGCATTACACCGACGCTGGTTTGACATTTGTTTCATTTTGTTTCATATACGTCCCTTGTGCACGTTTTCTTCATGCTTTCTGCTTCTGTTAGCCTTTTAATTTTTCAAGTTCTCTGTCGTCGAAAATTATCATCTGTCACCGAAAACCAGCGTTGTTTATTATGTACCCATAGCGATTCGGTGGGGTGTCATTGCCTCATTCGGAATAAGATTAAGCCTTCTACCACGCAGTGACAACACAAAAGTTACGCCTCACAAATTATGCCTCAAAAATTGGCACTTTTAATTTTATAAAGTTAATCAAGGATTTTTGGGTTTCACGGTTTTGGGATACCACTAAAGGCGTTGGTGAACATCCAGGAATCTTAAATAAACAAAATAAACAAACGTTTGTTGTCAAGGAACTTTAACAAGTTTGTATTTCCTTTCATTGGAAACCGACATGAGGTTAACTAAGAAATTTTTTCGAACTAATGTTTCGACTTTTAAATAAATGCTGTCCTCTCAACCGTAGAGAATGGTGCGCTGTAATCACGATTGACCTCATCCACACCTAGGGTTGATTTTCTGAGCTGAGACAAGCGTGCTCTTCGTCCATATAAATGCTCAGCGGCTGGTCTTCATCAATAAGTGGGAAGAGTGGTGGTAAGAGTGGTAAGAAAGAAAACGGTGTGTGCTTAAGAAAAGCTGCCTTTACGCGGTTAAAAAGTGCATATTCAGTTTACTCTGCTGAGGTTTTGAAAGTGCTTGGTTCGGTACATCATCAATTTCGCTTTCCCAAGAATACGGCGCAATCGGCGAAATATTACAGAGCGTTGAATCAATCTTACATTAGCAACCTCTTGATCACTCAAAAAGAGAGCGTAATTATTGGCCTACTCGCTAAACGCAGCTTCATCGCCGCCTCGGTTTCTGAATATTTTTCGTGCGCAAATTTATCGAATTATTTGAAGAAGCGATTAGCTCTAGGAGAGAGGTCTGGTAAGTATGGTGGATGACGCTCGGCTTCGCAGTTCAGCTTCTGCAGTCTTTGCTGTTCAGGCAGTACGAGTGCGACAGCGCATTATTTTTGAGAAGGACTAGTTTATCTTCATTGAAAAATATCTGGGACAAACACTGGAGTTTTAACGCATTTAGACAATTCGCTAGGAGTATCGTTACCAGTTTACCGTGAGCAAGATGTTGGAGTGGACGAAACCAAGTACAGATCACAAAGCGGCTAACGTGATCCTCTTTCAATGCAATTTTGGCTTTGTGAAGAATTTTAGAGCTTCATGTCGGTCTAACCGTGGAACCGACCGTCGCTCTTTATCATAGAAGCTCCAATACTGATTGTATATCACATTACTGTTGAGAAACGGATTTCTTGTTTGATGTAAAAATCATTGATGATACCTCCAAACCAATTTTTTTAAATTTTGCTTAATTTGTACGAAAACCATTTGTCAGCTTTCTCCGATTTTCCAGATTTTTTAAATACTCCGATAAGGCTGAAGTGCATCAACCGAGTTTTTCAGCAAGTTCTCGAGGGGTTTTGTTTGTCTATTTCCTTCCACCAAAGCCTTCAATTTACCATCGTCAGCAGCAGAAGAACATCTGCTACATCAGTCATGTTCAAAGCAGAATTCGTAACCACACAAGTTTTAAAACCGACTTTGTATCGTACATTCTCTAACATTTCCTCACCCCCTATCTTATTAGTGCGTCAGGCTACTTATGCCGCACCACGACCTAGCTTGAATTCGATAAGGTGAATTTATAACAATTGCTGGTTTATCCGCTGTTTTTCTCCAATAAGCAAAGACGAGGTTGGTATTATGGAATTCATTAACATGCAATGGTGATACTTCGACTCCGCTCCGGGCCGAACAAACCTCTCATCCCTCCGGGGTGGGGAAATTGGTACCGGACATGTTTGGGAATGAATCAATTTCTGCAGGACAATTGGGAACGTTCCAGCCCTGCTATCTGGACTCCAGGGAGAATTGCTCGACCAGCATTCTACGACATTCAAGATGAAATGAAAAACCTCAAGCAGCAACCGAAGCCATACGCAAAGTTGCAAGATCTCCGTGCACAATGGATTCGAGGAAACGAATCTAATGTGAGATCTGCACAATTGACGTCAAGACGGGTCATGTAAAATATAAAAAATAATTAGCATGCAATAGCTGACTTCTTAGCGGCTTCGCCTTCTTCAGAGCCTGGGAAGGTAAAATTGGCATGCAATCTAGTCAGCCAAACACTTTCATAACAGCAAGTTTTTCATAAATTTAGCAGTGTTTGGCTGAGTAGATTGCGTGTCAATTTGACCCTTTCAGGCCCTGAAGAAGACGAAACCGCCAAAGCGTCACCTTTTGAATACTAATAAATTAATAGTTCCCAGGATCGACTTTCTCTTAACCTCGGCATTGGAATATGAATGTGTCGTTTTCTTGTTCAGCAATCGCGAGGTTTTTAAACAGCATACATTTACTTCCATAAAAACACAATACAATACAACGCTAGCTGACGTTTCGGCAGTATCGCCTTCTTCAGAGCCGCTTTTTCGTGACTTCCAATGAGGAAGTTTAGAACAGCTGATTATAGTCGCATGTGGTTGACGACTCATTTTTGGCATTAGATCTAATAAAATCGCATATCAATATTGACCCACCAACTATCCTCCTCCAAAGGCGATCCTCCAAATACAAAGCACAAAAATGTTCCTTCGTTGCACACTTCTTCATTCTGGCAAACATCTCGTTCTGCTTGCTTCGTAGTGCAGCTCGAAGTAGTTCCATTTCGATGCCTCGTACTTGTTGGCTGCCCTCTGGTTGACCGCATATCTCGTGAAGTCGCTTTCGTTTTATAAACTTCGGCACGACTCGATGTTGAAAACAGCGGCGGAGGAAGTTGATTTGCTGTCTAGCTAAGACAATCTTCTGTCTTAGTGACAATGCTTCCTTCACGAGTCGAAAGTATTAAGTAAAGTGAAGTACTAATATATTATATAATACCAACCTGATGTTTACTTATGGAAGGAAAACCAGCGTTATCGAACACGCAGTGGAAAGAACGATGCTACGAGTATCTCGTTTCACACAAGGGGTGATAGGATCCGACGCTTCTATCTGCGTCAACGATCGAAAATCAAAGATGCCGTTCTGTACGCCAAACAGTCGAAAACCAGGTGGACTGGACACGTAATGCGTATGAATGACAATTGATGGACAAGAGCCGTTAGTGACTGGATTCCTCGGGATGTCAAACGTACTGCAGGAAAACCACCGGCCCGATGGTCTGAGTTTATCACAATGAACCTTAAAGAAGGATATGATGCTCGACGAGTCCCTAAAGCGAGCAGAACCCATTGGGCTAATCTCGTACGCGACAGGGAAAAATGGAAGATTTACTGGCGCCTCCTCGAGTCACTCGACCTTCAACATGACTACAGGTGATGCAAGTGACTACGACTCCATCTAGAATACTTTTGTCTTTATTCATAGAGTTTTCCATGCTATCCTTGTTAAGACGGCATTTGCCTAAACCTGCGCCGAAATCTTAAGGACAATTCATGCGACGATCGACCATAATAGAGGGTGATGCCTACTTGACACTTTAGTTTCTCATTATTCTTCACTAAGTCCGACTACCGGTTTCTTGCAAGGAAGATTAAATTGGGCCTTGAAATAGAGCTTATATAACGCTGAGGTATTTGCAAGCCTCCGGACCACAGGTGTCCGCGGTGGGGAACGAACGCGGTATTGTCCTTTCCGGGGAGTAACGCCTTCACCACCACTCCACGCGAGTCCTTCGTTTCGCCTGTCTCTCAGCTAGTCCTACCGATCTTATGCCATCAGCAATCACTCGTCACGGGTTGATCTGGGGAGCCCAAGAGAGTTCAATGCCGATTTGGAAAAAAGAACGAGAAAGATGAGCGAGGATATCTTCGTAGCTATCGTCCAGCATGTCTGTTGAGTGTACCCTAGAAGCTGTTTACGAAGATTATTCTGTGCGCATACCAAAGACATTGGATGAGGCTAGTGCTCAATGTACTTTGAAAAAATGCTCTTTGACGAGGAACTTCCGTCACCTGATATTTTCACATTGACATAAAGCGCTGATGAAGTTAACGCAAGCCATGAAAGAAGCAATGATATGAATGAAGGCAAGCCTGTGATGTAATGGTTTCGAATACAACACTAGTAGAATTCCAAACAAGTGTAACTCTCTTTTTCTGGAAGTACAGTGGCATCCTCTTATTTAGAAATAATCTGCACCTCAGTCAACAGCAATGAAGTTCTTTTATTCGAATCTCTACTAATTGGTGCGACGTTTGTTTTCCTCAGCTTGATACGAATGCTTCCTGCATTTATATGCATAAAGTACAGTCCGCGAACACTTTAATAACAAAGAGTATTAAAATAACAGGCAAACCTTATATGTGGATTGTGGCTTAGACATGAAATCACAAAACCGAGGCTAGCTACTAGGCTAAAGAAGCTCCAAGAAACAAACATGTCTACTTCGACTAAGATATAGGCAAACTGACACAGGCAACGTACTTCCTCATTCGCTGAGATGGAGCTACCTATCTGCTATCCCATTCACCTTCGACTATATTTATGCAAACGCGCCAGTAATGTTCTCGCCTGTATGCGGAGTATTATTTACGTAGTGCGTAGATTCGGGCAAAAGCTTAACACAAAATAACGAAAACGTACATATGGAAGTGAGACGACTTCGGGTTAGTACGCATATGCACTGGCGTTGAAGCAAAAACCGCTCTCCAAATCATAGCGTCACGTTAGTGAAGAGCCATGCTGCACCTGGTACTGGATGGACTAGGTCGCAGTAGCTCTGGAACCCATTTCCAATCTGAATTAAGTAGGGCCGCTTTTCACACGTTGCCTGTCAGAATATGAAGGGCTTAAACAGAAAGAAATGAGTTGGATATTCAAGAAGTCGTTTATTGAATCGAACAATCCAGAAGAACATAAAGCCAAGAAACAAACGCAAAGTGTAACAATGTAGTGCGCACAGCATTCCGATAAAGTGTGACATGTACTGGTGATTATTTCAGTACTAGTATTGAAATGCTGCTCAGACGCAAACACAGAAGTACTTTCGCCTATTGCGTCATAGGATAAGGACCCATTTCCTGTCGGGTTTGCTGATTTCCGGCAATTTGCGTTTCACTTTTATATCATGGCTTCTTCCTACTTCTTCCTTTTCTTTTTTTTATTACTCGCTATAAAAGCGTTTATTGGATTTTTGTTGTGACAACTATAAATGTAAACTAGGTCATTACTTTCAGCATTTGTTTCTAAGCATGTAAATATTACTAAGATTTCACTGATTTGATAGCGCAAGAAGTCCATCTAATGCGTTTTTTCTGCTTAATGCGATCATTTCTAGGTAAAGTAAGAGAATAACAAAACTTGGAAAGACAGCCGTGTTCTCAACACCTTAATAGTCTGCACATGAATCTGAATGAAACTGCTATCCAGCTACAATGCAGAAAGGTAATGAACGAATTCTTCCGCCGGCTTTAGCTTTCACTTTTTTAGTACTCATTTTTCATCGCTCTTTTAAATCGTCGTCTATTTTAGGATGGACTGGACACTGTGGAATATCCTCTATTTCGGGTTGTGCAAGCGATCTATACACTCTTGTCATTGGCGTCACTTCCACTATTGCTCTATGTGCAAATCAAATACATTTTCGGATCCATGTTTCATGGAAACATCAAAGTAAATGGAATGTGCGACAGTTCATAGCATTCAAGCACAAATGTCGTGCAGCTTTAGTGGAATTCCAGATTGCAGTATGGCAGTGAGAGTGTTTAGTACTCTTCTGCCCAGATAGCTTTCTAGCTCCATTAACTGAAACCGTTCAAAACTCCACGTTACATAATTGAATAAACAAAATACTTTAGCAGTTCTACTTGCAGATAGTTTTGATACTGTATTACTCTATGGCGCTACTGCATTCTACTGGCTACTCCATTGTTCAGGTAAAGTTCAGCGATAAATGCGTTAATCAGTTTCCTTTAAGGTGAACTCGAATACTTTATAGGAAGCTCTTGGTACGTTAGAAAGCATTAAATTTCGTTATAAGGAATAGATTACGATGCCGAATTTAATGTAACTGCCTCATCCAAATAATTCCTTACTAAATTTTCTCTATATTCACAATGAGTTGATATTTTCACTTATTCTAGGACTATTTCGAAACCGACCTTCCCTAAACCTCGGTGTGACTAATCAATATGTATTCTTTCTATTCTTTGTATTGTAATAAAAGGGCATCACTGAGTGAGGATGCCTCATTCGAGAAGATGGCTCACTGAGGAAGATCTGGCTCGACAAGAAGGCGAAGACGCAACGTCGAGGCGAACAACAAACATGGACCATCGACTCGGATCACCGGCTCTGAGGAAGACGAAGGCGTCGAAACGTTAGCCGAAAATAAATATATTTATCAACCTCGTGCAAGCTTATCAAGAAAGAATACATATTCTAGGACTATTCGCTCTCGGAAAAGGTCGACTCTATTATTCTTTCCTGTAATTCTACCTTTTTATGTACTTTGAGAACGATTTTCGTGTACTAGGCCTTTTATGTCCTCTTAGTTCTCCACCTATTTTTCTATAATTTTAATACACTTCTGCTATATTGGATGAAACAAATCGTCCATGACAAAACTACGACTTTTCCAGCGTTCAGTGGGTAACTTCGCAACAACTATGAACTATATATCTGCATTTTCATACCGACCTATTCCATATGAAAAGAAGGATAGATCATACTTACTTACTTGATACTTGAATGGCCCGTCCTCACTGGCCGAGCGGGCCTCAGCACAACCTCCACTTTTCGGAGATTTGCTAGCTAAGACACTGTGGTTCCTAGGAATCCCGATGTCAGCCTTGGCAAAGTCTGCCTCGGGTCTTCACCACCACAGTCAGTCGCAGCCCTTGTGGATCAGAGAGAGATTTGCCTCCATACCACTTTGATACCAGAACGGTGGTGGATCCTAGCATTGGTTTACTCTTAGCTAGGCTTCCTGATAGAAACACCAGACTCCTTCTCAGCTTGGGAGACCCTGCCGGGTGGACGAATCACTCCGCTGTACCCGCTGTACATCGCAGTCCGACACCCAGGAACACCTCTCAGCCACGTTGGGGAGAAAAACCTTTGAGAGAAGGATAGATGATAGGGATTAGAGGTAAGAAATCAGCAAATGAACATTATCTGTCGTGTGCTTAACAGGTAATGGACGACGCTGATTAGTCGAAACTCCAGATTGCGACAAATGACACACATGCGGAGCTGCGAAACTGATGTCTTGTGCAAAAGAGTTCCTTATGTCGCACTAATACATACTATAACGTGTTTCTCTATGGGAGTTATACACGGCGCAATGTCCCTGGTTTGATTCCTATAGAGGTCATTTCGATTAACTACTTATTGATTTGATTTGTGAAATGTTACTTTAAAGGCACAGGGTCGAAAACTTGTATTAATTCCCCTATTCCTGCAATCTATAATCTTATCCCAATGAAAAGATGCTCATGAATGTAGAAGCTAGGTATTCGACTACATCAAAATACCACTGTAATCTTCCAAAGCAACAGTATTTGTGATGAGAGGTTTACCCAGCAACAATAGCCACTCGTCGATGAAATAAACTCGTAAGAAAAACAGTTTTTTCTAAATAATCAAGCCACAGTGTCGAGCAAAACGTTCCGGCGTGGACCGATCAATCGTTTTAGTGAAAGGACTGCACCAAAAAACAAGTTTTGAGCAAAAATAGACGTCCGGAAAGAAAATGATTTGATGTTAGCTCATGTGGACCCGTCTGTGCACATGCGACTGGCTATAATTGATAACTTATCCGGTGTTCAAGAAACCGCCACTTTTCAGATTTATGAAATAACGAAAAGTTTGCTGGTTAGCAAGCCGTGCGATTTCTTTCCACCTACCTACATCTACATTCCGCTCCATCTGAGCATTGTTATTCCATGCTATGGTTTGGTAAGTTGCAAGCACCCGTTAGGAATGATTTGGGTAAAATTTGTTTTACACAGCTGAAATTCGTTCCGTATTGTACGCTTCGTTTATCAATGAATACGTCGGCGACATTCAATTATTTACATATATCTACTCATAAATTGATCTTGTTGAGCTGGTGCAAGGTTGGTATAAGCCGTAGTTGTTGTTCTTGTTGTTGCTCAATGGCTGAGGTTTAGGCGACTTCGCCTTCCTTGGAGCCATGCTGTTACCATACCAACCTCGCATCAACTCAAAAAGATCGGTTTATAAGAACATATGTATCGACTATTTATGCCGAGGTTTGCAGAAAGTCAGTCTTTTGAATTATTTATATGGTTAAAAGATCTCCTTAATGTTACTAACAAACTGAATGTTAGTCGACTGTGTTAAAACCTCTGTTGAAGAATGTAACAAAAATCGATGAGACTCATCCGAGTTAAAATATCATTGGTAACCAGGCGGATAGTGGATCTGTTTTCTGTGTGTTTGCTTTCAACATCATTACACCTACGAACCGACGCTTGTAGCGCGGTGGTTAAAGACGCTCTACTACATACACTTGGTTTCGATCTTGCGCCCTAAGCTCAATAAGCTTTTCATCCATCCTGGGTCGAAAAATTGCTACCAGATCTGTCTGGAAGGATAACAGTACTGAGTCAATACATCGGTTTATCACCCGCAAATCATTGTAAAGACCAGATATGCATTCAATCACCTCCAACAATGCTTGGTAAAGTCGAATGTATGGCGCATCTCTCAGGCTTTGATCAACGTCGAGAGCTTTTTCATTTTTTTTACAGTTACGAGATGCTCGTATATCCCCACGAAAGAGGAAAGCATCCCATTTCAGTAAATAAACAATATATCGCCAAATTATGTTACTCATATGAAGTGCCTCCCAATGGTTCGCTCCAATAGGCTTCCTCTCAAATTACACTTAATGACGTCACCTTTAGCTGATCAAATATTTAACGTACAACTTTTCGACAGCTTAATTTTCGTTTTCGAGTAGTGTACTCCATTCTTGTAAATAATAACTTGGAAGCAGTGTTTCCGTAACATTACAGTCAAGTGCTGAACCACAAAGTGAGAAACTTTACCTTTCTGGATGCTTAGTGTAGATGTTAAATGAAGGTAGATTTGAAAAATATTAGCAACTTAGTTCAATAGCAGCAAATGGAAGTCGGAAGATGCTAAAAACTTTTAGGTTCTCACTCTTCTGGCAATTTGTTTTGAGCGCGTTGTGGCGACTATTCGTCCCAGTAAATATGAGAGCCACGGCATGACTTTGGGTCTAGTTCTTCTCGCACTCGTGGTACGTCATTTAAACATTCATTGAAAATTCCGAATTAATACGAACCACCATCCTAACTTGCTAATTCCTACAAAGCTATAACTGACGATGTCTAAGAGCTATTCTATTGAAATAAGTTATTAAAAGAACCGTTTAAGAAGGAAGGAAAAATTCCTCAATTTAAGAAGAAAACACAACCAGAGGCAGGTAATCAAGGCGCGCATTTGTAAATGTAGAATTACACAGATGCCACATCGTATCCATACATAAACATATATATACACACGTATGTATGAAGATATGACTGTACATATATATATATATATATATATATATATATACAT